GCCTTTCAATGCTGAAACCGTAGTTTAAAAGGAATTCTTTAAGATCTATTAAATAAAATTCTGGTGTGGCATTCCTCTTTAAACACGTGTTAATTAAAGTGAATAGATGTCTGATCTCATGATGAATACAAAATATGTTTGGGATGATTTATATAAAATTATCAAGAATTGTTTTATTTCACAATAATTGATATTATGATCTACTGTTAAGTCGAAAAAAAATTGGATAAGTAACATCCACATAATAAAAGCAAAAACATACTGTGTTTTTTTGATATATTATTCCGGACTCATTATTTATTACAACTTGGTTCTAAATTGTATGCACTTCCGATCAATAAATGAATGTGTTTGCAAGTTGAGGCAGTTAATATTAGATGGAATCTTACGCAGATGTGATAGCTAACCAGCCTGTTGTAATAGACAATGTAAGCAAAGAGTCATGTATATTCTTTTTCTGAATGAAGCATCACTCACGCCATTTGGGTTACTGGCAAAATGTAAACAGTGACTCATTTTGACCGAGTTTCCTCAACACTTCCAGATTTTTAAATGTCCTTTTAAAATCTTTTGCCGCTCTTTACACATTAAAAATAAACAGTCTGATTTATTCCAATCCATATACAGGCTTTGTAGCAATATCTAGTTTCAAAAGTGTGTACCATTACTCCATCAGTGTGAATGATGAAAAATTGGCTAAGTACTGAGGAAGTAAGGGTGTACTTTCACCAAGTAATAGTTGATTGTTGCATTCCCCCCTTAGTAAGAATAATGAATACACATCTATTCGATATTTTACACTGGGGGACTTCTTACTTTGCTTGTGATAAGTTTGGAATGTGATGCCTTTGGGTGTGGCAAGTTCTTTTTGAATGGTTTTCGACACTGGACAGTAAGTTGGAAAGAGGTTTATTGTTGCATATAAACTTATAATGAATTGACAATTGTGACAAAGAGAAGGGTAGAAACTTTGTTTTTGAATTTTAAAGAAATGATCTGCATTTGTATCTGACCTATCTGTACATCATAGAATTCTAAAGGGCTTTCATCTGCCGTGGAAGGCAAATTTTGTCACGTTGATGTTTTAAGTCATATAAGCTCTCTAACTTTGAGGCACGGATTACTTCCTCTTCCAGGTGGTTCCAGTCTTTTGCAGTGCAAACGAGAAAAAATGAGCTTTAGTAGTGTGGTTTTAGTGTTTGGTATTTTCTTTGCTTTATCGTTGTTTCTTTGGAAAATTAGACATTTCGAACTTCTGAATAACTGCAATAAGCTGATTAGATAACCAAGTTTTTGGAACACTGTGCCATAATTGAATAAATAATATGAAAACAGGAAAGCTTTTATCCCTTCACAACAGAGTTTGTGGGGATTTAGAAATAGCCTTGGGTGTGGAGGTGGGTTTGTATGTCCTTACGTCTTGTATCAAATGCTGCCTTGATTTATGATATACTCTTTTGTGAGTGGATGCTCTACTTTGCAGTGCCCTTGTTTTCTTTTTAATCAAGATTAAGAAAATAAAAAACCAAACAAACAAATTTGGCATTGCTTGCACCCAATGGTTGCATTCCTCTGAATGATGTGATATTTGATTGATGTACAAAAAAGAAACTATATTAATTCGCAATTTTATATATGAGTTTTCTATTTTAGTCTTTTCATTAATTTTTAGGGGTCTGGAGTTATCAAAGCAGGTTTTGCAGGTGACCAAGTACCAAAATACCACTTTCCAAACTTGTGAGTTAACTTAAACCATCGATAATAGTGTCTGAGCATTTCACAATATATGATGTGTGTCATTCTACAAAAAAAAATATTACCAGGCATGTCTTCCAAAAAAAGTATATATTTTCAAATATTTTAAAATCAAAGTTTCAAAACTTTAAAAAGTTATTCTTTCCCTTTTGACAGCAGAATTTTTTTTTAAAATTAAGATTCTTAGTTCATAAACAGTACATATGCGGGTATCAGCCTGAACTTAAATGCTTTGTTTTATATTGCAGTGTGGGAAGACCAAAGCATGTGAGGGTAATGGCAGGTGCCCTAGAAGGGGATGTATTTCTAGGCCCAGAAGCAGAGGTTACTCAATTTGATAAACAATAAATTAACAGTAAAATTTCTTTAGAGTAGATGCATTACATGGAAATATCGAAGTATCAAAGTACTGGTTACAACAATAAATGTGGAATTTTAAAATAATCTTTAAATGAAAAGGAAATGAAACGTATGACATCTTTTATTGATAGGAACACAGAGGACTTTTGACCATTAGATACCCAATGGAGCATGGCATCGTGAAAGACTGGAATGACATGGAGAGAATTTGGCAGTATATTTATTCCAAAGACCAATTACAAACCTTTTCAGAAGAGGTAGAATAAGCTTGTTGAATTTGCGGTGTGACATAATGTTTTGTTATCCTGTGGACTCATGTAAATTGTACATCTATATTTATGCCCCCCTTCGAAGAAGGGAGGGCATATTGCTTTGCTGCTGTCCGTCGGTCTGTCGGTCCACTTAGTTTCCGTTCATTTTCTTCACAACCGTTGCACATACTGAAATGAAATTTGGTATACAGATTTATCAGATGAATACCTAGGCCAAGTTCTGTTTTGGGTACGATCGTGCCATTTTTTACAGAGTTATGCCCTTTGAACTTAGAAAAAATCCAATTATAATCTAAGCATTTGTCCTTAAGGAGATATGAGTGGACATGTATCCAGTTAAAGATAATTAATGAGCTTAGTGTGGGAAGTTAGGCATCTCTGATCATGTGTTATCTTTATCTCCTGAGAATTCGATAACAGAAGGAAAGATCTCTCTTCTCTAATTCTCTTAATTGTAATTTATTGCTTGTCAAAACATTTACATGTATTTACCAGCCTTTTTATGCCCCCCTTCAAAGAAGGGAGGGCATATATTGCTTTGCTGCTGTCTGTTGGTCCATTTAAGTAAATTAAAAAAAAAAACTAAGTCTTTTAAATTTTAAATTTCATAATCCTAAAAAATGTAAAAATATAGTTGTATCCTTATTCAAAAAATGTTAAATTAAGTAAAAACTTATTCTTTCATAATCATATACTTTACAGCAATCTGTAACAAATGTTAATGTTTTGAGAGGAATTCAGTTTGTCCCATGGGCATAATTATCAAGCACTGGTCAAGAAGAATTTTGATAGCAGAAATTTGCAGGTCAAATCAGAGAAATTAATGAGTTTATTGTCAGGAGCTAATTGGTAGTCTAAAGCGAGAGCATCTCTAGATATGATCATCTTAATTTATCTCTTGGGAGTTGGGTAAAAAGAAATGGCCTCATAGTTGCTGTGTTAATTAAGAGTTCTTGATGGCTATAGTTCAGATAAAGATCTTTCAATTGGTGTAGTGTAATTAAAATAAATTGATGTTTTAGTGTATGATTAAAACTAAATTATTATTGTATAATATAATGAAAACTAATTATGCCCTCCTTTGAAGGAGGGAGGGCATATTGCTTTGCTGCTGTCTGTCGGTATGTTGGTCTGTCGGTCCACTAAGTTTCCAGTCATTTTCTTTGCAACCGTTGCACATACTGAAATGAAATTTGATATACAGATATATCAGATTAATATCTAGGTCAAGTTCTTTTTGGGTACGATCGCACCATTTTTACAGGGTTATGTTCCTTAGACTTGGAAAAATTCCTGTTATTTCAGTTTCTGTTCATTTTCTTTGCAACCGTTGCGCATACTGAAATGAAATTAAGAATACAGATTTATCATAGATATCTAGGTCAAGTTCTGGTTTGGGTACGATTGCACCATTTTTGACAGAGTTATGCCCCTTTGACTTTGTAAAAATTTCAAATTATTTGCAGTTTCCTTTCATTGTTGCACATACTGAAATGAAATTTGGTATACAAATGTATCAGATAAATATTTTGGTCAAGTTCTGTTTTGTGTATGATCGTGCCATTTTTGACAGAGTTATGCCCTTTGGACTTGTAAAAATTCCAATTTGGGGAGAGGGGGCATAAGTGTTTTACAAACATCTCTTGTTTATTAAGAAGGTATAACATTTATAAAGCAAAAAAAGAAAAAAAGTGATTGATTTAACGTATTGAATGCATTTTCTTCCAGCATCCTGTGCTGTTAACAGAGGCACCACTGAACCCAAGAAGAAATAGAGAAAAAGCAGCAGAAATATTTTTCGAGACTTTTAATGTGCCAGCTCTGTACATTTCCATGCAGGCAGTGCTTAGTTTGTAAGTCACTTTAGTAATGCTTAATTTTGCAATTATTTGTTACAGAGTAACAAGCTAACACCTGTAAATAGAAAACAAAAACAATTTCTCTGTCTTATTTATTTGTTCATTTGTTATGATAAATGAATGATTTTGAAATTTTCTTCAGATATGCCACAGGAAAGACAACAGGAGTAGTTTTAGATTCTGGAGACGGTGTAACTCATGCTGTCCCGATTTACGAGGGCTTTGCCATGCCACACAGCATAATGAGGTCGGATGTAGCCGGCAGGGATGTCACACGATACCTTAGACTGCTTCTTAGGAAAGAAGGATACAATTTCCATACATCTGCTGAACTTGAAATTGTTAGAACCATCAAAGAGGTTTGGAAATTAACACTTTAATGAACAAGTCTTCCTATAATTTTATTGTAAATTTATTTATAAACGCCTTTTTCCTTCGTTTAGAGTTAACAAATACTGCAGGTTGTTTTTTTTTTTCAGTTTTTGTCAGTAGTATGGTACATGTATCATTATACCGGTATTTCAATGTTTGTTTTTTGTAAAGTAGAGCAAAAAATTATGCAAATTCTGACTGTCTTTACAGAGAGCCTGCTATTTGTCAGATAATCCCCTCAAAGAGGAGACAGTGGAGGGAGAAAAGTCACAGTATACGTTACCTGATGGAAGTGTTATTGAGGTCAGTCTAAATAAAAATATTAACATTTGCTGTGTTTTTCTACTAAGCCAAACCTGAAAATGTACAAAGAGAAACTTGTGCTAAAGTGACATTACAATGAGGTACAGAAAAATTGATAGAAACGTTACGATTTAGGGCAAGAGAAAATCAAAGCTTTAGTGTATTTTTGCAGCTTTTAAAATGTAAATAAAAATGTAAGGAATGTTTTCATATATAGTGTGAATTATTGGTGTGTAAATTGCACAAACTTGCCTGTAGGCATATTTATCATGAAGCGCTAGCATGCTTCATGAAATATGCTTACCCGTATGTGACAAGTCTGTGAGATTTACATACCAATCACTCACACTAAACCAAAAAACATTCCATAAATATTGGCATATATGCTATGTAGATATAAGTAAATTTGAATTCAAATGCTGTGTAATTAAACATTGAATACAAACATTTCTTTTCTTTTAATTTAATGATTGTATATGTGATAACATATAATTTGCATGATTTACATATTTACTGTAGATTGGTCCTGCTAAGTTCCGAGCACCAGAAGTCCTGTTTCGACCAGACTTAATCGGAGAAGAGTTTGAAGGAATACACGAGGTGCTTGCTTACTCCATTAGAAAGTCGGACATGGATCTCCGGCGAATGCTCTTCTCAAACGTAGTCCTGTCAGGAGGATCAACACTTTTCAAAAGTATGAACAGTTCTATCAGGTTGATTTCAGTATCGTTTAATTCAATATTTACTAAATGAAAAGTAACATTTTATTACACTGAACTTTATAAAAACGAAAGTGGCAATTTATAGTTTTAAGTAATTTTATTTTCATAATACAGGTAGTTATCAGGAACCATTCACCTTCAAAAATTGATAAACTTGTATTCTATTTTGCAGGATTTGGTGATAGACTTTTAAGTGAATTAAAGAAACTAGCCCCAAAAGATATAAAAATTAGGGTAAGTTCAAAGGTTAATTGCTTTACTCTAATTAGCGTGTACTTGAATTCTTAATTATGTTTGACAGGATTGCTTATGACACAAGACCCTTTTGGTAGGTTCAAGGAAACTTGGAAAAAAAATTGCAGGGAATATGTTCTGGAGGCTCATACATTCTGTAAATCACTATATTTTCGCGACACCTCATTTCGCTAGAAATCTTTTTTTGTATTTATTAACAAGACAAAATTTTCACAGTTAACATTGTTTATAACTGTTAACAATACAATTATGCGCGAGAATTAAATGTTCGCAAGTAGACAAACTTGCATAATTACGCAAAAAACAACAGCTGCATAAGACCTGATTCATGATTTCATGCTGTACTTGAAAAAAATGTGCTTTATTTGTTTCCTGGCAACATACAATGTGATATCAGAGAAACATTGGGATTGAATAAAGTCACTTGCAGAAAATCTGATCTTTGTTGCTTAGCACAATTTTTTAAACTGAGTTTGTGTTTTAAACCTGACTAAAAGTTATTTGTCAGAAGTTAGCAAGGATATGGTTCAGGATATAATCTTTTTGAGCTGAACTTTTTTGATTACATTATCTCTACACATGATTGAAATAAAGTTGAGACATTGATTTATTTTTACATATTAATTGCAAATCTGTATTGCATTTCAGATATCTGCTCCTCAAGAAAGGTTATACTCAACTTGGATAGGGTAAGTGCCATAGATTTCTTTATATATGTTTAAAAGTCACACAATTCCAAATGATCCCATCAGTTTGTGAGAAAATGCATTTTAAAAATCATAAAAATATTAATGACAAGAATGTGCAGGAGCTTGATGGGAAAAAATCATTTCCAGTTATATAGCATCATTTCGTTACAAAACCAGAAGTCTCTGTCGAGACTGAAGCTCTACTGGTTTGTATTTATAGCAAAGGAAGAGAAAATACTTTAATAAGCAGTTGGGAATTGAAACTTTACAACGGTAATAAATAGAATAATGATCTTTGATTGAGCCTCTTTATGTTCAAGTTATATTGAAATCAGACCAAAACTGTAGGAGGAGTAGCATTTTGAAAGAATTTCACAGAAATTTCTATTTTTAGTAACCACGGCAACACCGTTCATCGAAATCAAAAACCGATATATAGAATTATGTATCGTAGTGTAGTCTACTTGTGTGCCAATTTAGATTGAAATCAGACTCAAACTGTAGGAGGAGTAGCATTTTGAGAGAATTTCACAGAATTTTCTATTTTTAGTAACCACGGCAACACCGTTCATCAAAATGAAAAACTGATACACAGAATTATGTATTTTAGTGTAGTCTACTTGTGTGCCAAGTTATATTGATATCAGACCAAAACTGTAGGAGGAGTAGCATTTTGAAAGAATTTCACAGAAATTTCTATTTTTAGTAACCATGGCAACACCGTTCATCAAAATCAAAAACCGATACACAGAATTATGTATCTTAGTGTATTCTACTTGTGTGCCAAGTAATATTGAAATCAGACCAAAACTGTAGGAGGAGTAGCATTTTGAAAAATTGTTTACAGACAGACAGACAGACGGACGGACGCCGGACGCATTACTATCGCATAAGCTCTTCTGGTCTCTGACCAGAAGAGCTAAAAAAACACCATTGAATGCAACAGCATTTTACTTTTTTTGCAGTGGTTCCATTTTAGCTTCCCTGGACACTTTCAAGAAAATGTGGGTGTCAAAACGGGAATATAACGAAGAAGGAGTGAAGGCCATTCACAGAAAGACATTCTAACCATGTACAAAGCTAGAAACCATCTATTTATGATCAACCTACAAGCATGTGACAGTTGATGCAGGGAAGGGGTGTGGGAAAAGAACAAATGCTTTTTTTTTTTACATTATAAGTGGTATAAGTATGGTGTATACAATTAATTTGCAGCAACTGTATTTATTATTGTCTATGGTTGATTTAATAGTCATATATTTATTAGTGCTGATATGAAAAGCAATCTGACCCCGAGTTATTGAAAATGAGGTGCATTCCAATAAATGGTCAGGTGGTCTTCCACTTTTCATAAAGGAGTTTTTGTACCCTTTAGTTTGACTGTTGGGACTTCCAAGGTTATTGGAGAAATTGTGGTTTGAACCAGCCTCTTTTGAACATGTCCATTGGGAAACACTTAATGTTATAAAGTTTATAGATGATAAAGCTTTTGTGTTCAGCTTTGATATTGCCTCTACATTTTGCAGTTGATGTTTTCTAACATATCTGTCTTTAAAAGTCATCATTTCATTACTAAAAATTTTTTTTTCAGAACTGTTCGTTATCCAAGAATCAGTTTCAAGAAATATTTAAATTTATTCAAAAGTTGGATTTTTTTTTAACATACAATACATGTACTTATGAGAATTTGTTAAATTATTTTAAAAAATTGAAATCGCTTGACCTAAATGCAGAAGAGCACATTGATGTAAAATAAATTGTTTACTGTCCTTTATGTTGGCACAAATGTTGAAGAGAAAACCGGCACTATTTTTTTCGGATGATCACGGGGAAGGCTTCGAGGTCACAAGGTTGTAAAGTGACTCTCCACACACACAAAGTGCAATAATACGTATACATGGACTTGTCTATTATGGATTGTAGTCAGGTTTTTTTTAAACACCAGTTTTTTATGTTATAAATCATGTGCAAACAAAACTTGTAACTGTCCAATTTTGGTTGTTAAGTCATACATATACCAATTCATGAATGGATAACAATTGTATTTTCATTCAATTTGATTGGTTATTGTAAAATCATTTTTTTTGATTAAGCAAAGACTGTTAAAAAAGAGATATAAAAAATTGTAATTAAGCTTATTATGCATAAAACTATTGAGAAAAGAGATATGACAATTTTGGTTAAGTTTATTATTTGCTTTTTACATTCATTTGTATTTTTGGTACAGTGCTTGTTAACAACTGTAGAAAATATGTAAATAACAGAAGACAACAAATCAAATAAACTATTTGAAATTAATTCAGATTTTTTGTTTTCTTAATGAATTCAAATTAAGTTATGTATCCCCTGTATATGTACAGAATACATGTACTACATTGTACAATTACCGGTAGTATAAAAGTGCATTAAATTTTCTAATTTCAGAATATTTCCATACTTGGCAATTGAATTTTGCCACAGTTAAATGCTCATAACTTGGACATCTGTAAGCTCTCCAACAATATCACTTCAACTTTTGTTAGCAGAAAGATGCTTTTTTCTATCCAAAATTTTTGAGTACTGTAGACGTACTTTTTTTCCACGGGGTCATAAGTCCGCGGAATCTCAATTTCTGTTGAATCCACCAGTAGAAAATTTTGCAGATTTCCCAGACTGTCACTATATGCCTTACATTTATATTAAGTACGCTTGGACAAATTTCCGCGGAAAATTGGTGACCTCGTACATTTCGTAAATTAATACCACACGGAAAAAAGTACTTATACAGTAATTCAAATTACACTGTAATTTTTTCTATTGACAATAATGCTTCTTTATATGTAATTACTTAAAAATTCCTAAGCTGCAAGATAGCATGTACATAATATGATTGAGAGTACTTGCTACCACTAACTCAAAACATCAACATGATATACAAAGGTCTGTTAGGCAGAGTGCATGTATGCACTGTGAAGCGCTCATAAAAATTCCTTATTCCTCCAACAGAAATGTTCACTTGTGATTGCAAACATTCATTCTGTTCAACAGCATCAGGTATGTTTATTTGATACATCACCAAAGTCAACATCAATAAGCTCAACATAAAGAACAACAATTGAGCTTTAAACTGGAATATATGACACATTAGGTTTTGTAAACCTTCAATAAATATATATACAGGTAATTATGTACATCAAATACAAGCTTCAGAATAGTTACACTGAGGAATTAGTTTTCCTCCAATTTGACTCTCCATGATTTCATAAAT